GGGTAGGTGCAAATTGATGTTTATAGTTTGTATAAGATTAATTACAAAATACTATATTCTTGATTCTTAAGAAATTAATATAATCATGAAAAAGCAAGAATGTGAATTCGAACTCGCTTTTCCTCTCGGCGCCGCGCCGGAGAACCTTCGGCGTTTTGGTCTTCGGCACCACAGACCCGCGGATTATTCTCTTTTGTTTATTTTCTTGTTTAATTTAATTAATTAAATTAATGATTTAATTAGGGTGTCGGCCATACTTAGGGTTCGGGTTTTTTTTTTCTTGAGCAGTGCTAGGGGCACTCGCCTCCTGCACTCTCCAGCCACACATGCTTTTTTATTGGGCCACGTAAGCTTGCTGACGCTATGAAACGATTACCTCTCCCCACCAACATAACGTGGCCCAGTGAAAATGGAAGTGTTGGTTGGAAAGTGCAAATGGCGAGTGTTCCCAGCATTGCTCCTTTTATTTTTTTAACATTTACAGGGTTTGTGGGCAGCAGAGATTCGACCCCAGGTCATGACCTTGGAAGATAAATCTAACAACCAAGTGGGCTCATAATTATGGGTCAATTATTTTTAGACGAGAAAAATATCTATTTATATATAAATTTTATACATTATATTTTTATAAAATCTCAGTAATTTATTTTTTTATTTTTAAATAAAAATAAAAAAACCACAAATTAAAGATCAATTTGAGCATTGTGTAGCGACAAAACTAAAAGTTAAAAAAAAAAATTTACAGAGAAAAAATGCATTGGTCATGCATAAGTAATAATAATTATCAAAGTCAATTTACCACAAAAAATTATCAGGCAAATAAACCTACACATGGCAATCTACAAGATGGCTATGGTTCCAGTTTTACGCTCTGTCGGGATGACATCTGGATCTTAACTCTTAGAAAGAATAATATGAAACAATATGCTATAATAAAAAAATAAACGGCCAATTTTGGATTAGTTTTTCAGAGCTTACAAGCATTGCATCTAGATCACAGTCAAGGACCGGAAGCCATACTGAAGCAGCTACCCAAAACCATTTCCCCTTAAGGTACCTGTAAACTGCCCTGGCCAGTAGGTAACAACCAAGCACTCAGTTGTGCTAACTTTAAACCTCTCGCAACCAGCAATCTCCTCAAGGACAAGAATGATACATAAAGGTTGGGACTAGAGGTTGTTCTACTGCGACTGCTTAACGAAAAGGATGAGAGGGAAATTACAAAAATGCAGCAAAGAGTGTGGGGTAATAGAAAGGGAAGTCAATGATAAACATCATCAACAATGACAGATGAGGGAATTGGGAATGAAAGGAATAGTCTTAATAGGAATTTGACAATTGGGATGCCTTCAATAGAAAGAGATACTATACAACAGCTTCCGCCGATGCTTGTTCTCAAAAGCAATTATAATATCATCTATTGATTCCTCCCATGATTCAGCTGCTTCAATCTAATGATAAAAATAATCAACACCAAAATTTATCAATATCATACACAACATATAATGAATTTAAAGGATAAAAACATGTAACAGAGCATAAAGCATACATCTTGGCAAAGATCTAAAGCAAGCCGGGCTCCTACAGCTGCCTCCTCATGGTTATCTTTAACTTCCAAGTTGATTACTAGCACACTTTTCATAAGAACGTGATCCCGGTTGTGGAGATCTGTGGTTGATTAAATATTAAGACAAGGTATCAAAATCACAGGACAGACAGAGGTGAACACAGCATTGTAACTGAAGAACAATACATGATTGTATGGATCTAACAACTATTATCTAAATATCTAAAGATAAACAGTAGTTCTTATGGCAGATGGCAGTTTGGCATTCAGTAAGTGTTCACAAGAGTTGCAGATCAAAAAAAAAAAAGTTCAGATAAGTAAAACACAAAACTGAAATCATATCTCATTGAAGACCGACATCAAGGTCAAAAGCCAGACAAAATTTTCTAATAGGAGTTATAAAACAAAATTTGACCATCCTAGAAATGCATGCACTTCAGTGCAAAGTAGGAAATTAAATAGAACAAAATATGAGATCCAAAATTTCAATCCAAAAAAATCAAGTTCACATTAAAAAAGAGCAGAGAAAAAAAAAGAAGAAAAAGAAAAACGTGCGCACAGCCACACACATGATGCCCAAAACAAATCAAGAAAAAACCAACAAAACAAACAGATAATTACCAACTGTTTTCTCTTTACCATTAAAGCGATTTTTCATTTCATCTAAAAAGATGCTTTTGCTCAAAGGGAAAGTGACCCAAATCCAGTCCATTTTTTTTCCACTGTAATTTTATTTTAATAGACATCTGTAATTTTTTTTGGAAAATAACAGCTGGATTCAGCTTTTGTCTAGACATGTGAACTCAATCAATAACACACCTAATCAGAATACAAGTAAGATATCAAAAATATAATTAAGTCATCATTTTACATCTATGTTCCCACCTTGCGAACTTTATAGCTTTGTTTTCCCATACAATGTTTCAAATGTTATTTCAGAAGGACTTTGCCTCCTTTTGAAACTAAAATCAAGAAGCTATTCAATAAATTTCATTGAAAATGACTACCATTATTTTTGACAACAATATATTTTCTTGAAAATGATCTTTTGAAAGTCCATACTGTTTCAAATATGTAAGTTTACTCAGACTCCTGATTTAACATCGTATAAAATTTCATCTACAGGTGTAAGGTTTCTATTATCAATATTTGTCTTTTCTTGTAAATGTAATGTAAATATATTCTAACAGAAAAACTGTATTGCATTCCATTTCAATTAACAATAATCTCCTATTCTTTACAAGACAAGCAGTTTACCTTATCTATTTATCCAGACCACCTTGGCAAAAAAGGAAAAAAATCCTGACTACCAGCACCGTATATTTAGCAGGTGCTCAAACTACTCTAGAGTCAATCTGTTTATGAGATACATGACACAAATTAGTTGGTTACTGATGTCAAATGAGTGAAAATCAAAACTGTCTCTAATAACTTTTCCATCATCAGTGAAATGAAGTGAGAATATTCCAGTAAATTTATGCTATTAAATAGAACAAAAAAGTGAAAACAAATGGGGAAACTGGAAATTTCAGTAACTGGATTCACATAGTAAGTAAATAAACTATTAATTAGAATTTATATGAGGTTAGAACAAACGGGGAATCTGAAAAATCAACCTTCAACAACCATATCAAAAACCTTTTCTTCAAAGGTAAACACAATGTCAAAGGAGCCATCAGCAGCATTGTCTTGCCAACGTTGTGGTGCCAATTTGACAGATGAGTTCCTTTTAAGCATTGGCAAAATGCCATTGCGCTTATATCTGAAGTCTAATTAAGGTTTCACTTTCTTTTTTACTAACATCAAAATAGATCGACTTCAAAACCAAAGCATTTACACCCTTATATTATTCATCTAAACAGAACGCATTCACATGTGCTTTCAAAATAACATGAGTCAATGCGTTGAGCTCATGAACATAAATGCACTTGAGTTAAGTAACAATGACACAAGTTGTGGCTGAGGGAAGAGAATTAACTAAACTTCAATATCTCCCAGAAATTGAATCCAATATCATTAAACACAAAGTATTAACAAGACTGTTAACCCATAATAATACACAAATAGTCATGGAATTCTTCAAGGTCACAAAAAAAGGAAAAACAATTTGGCAAATAAACTCTGGATTTCAGGAACTAAAATATTGAGTCTTAATTAAACAAATTAAGAAAAGGGTCATGGTTGGTTTCCCAGAAAATGTAGATTATGCAATGGAAAATCTATCATTCATATCCTAGGAGCTGTACTAGCCTCAAATTCCGTAAAGCTAACTATTTTGTCTTCTAATTTCCAAAATTTTCGCAGCAGCCAAACAGAGGTTAACAAGAAAGAACTAAAGATATTAAAAAAAAATAAAAGAAATAACCAAAAGCGGATATTGAAAAGAAGAAAGGATACAGTGCGGGATCTTTCCGGAAGAGATCGTCGAACATCTGTTTATACGGGGTTCCAAACTCGTAGACATTGGGTTCTCTTATGGAGGGACCGGGAAGCTTCACGTGAGTTCCGGTACCGTAGGAGGAGACGTCGAAGCCTTGCTTTTTGAGCAGTGAATGCGCCTCCATGCTCCGGTTCTGGTTCGATGAACACACCATGGCGTACCGGAACTTCATAGCGGGCGACTGCAAAGGAAGAAACGATGAACACTCTGAGAATTTTTGCGGAGATGTGGGTTCAATTTCATGGTATTCCACTGTTTTGGGCCTAAATAGCTTCTCCTGGGCCTACGCACACAAGTAGAGAATTAATAACCAGCATGCTAATTTAATTTTTTAATATATTAAATGATGAATTATATAATAAAAAATAACATTAAGTTTGTAAAATCTTCTTCACTATCTTAAGATTTAAATTAAAATTTTTTAATATAAAAATTAAGTTTTTAACTACTAAAATGTCCCTAGAAAATACAATTGAACTAATGGTGATGAGTTGAGGTCAATTTCAAGCTTAATAAATAATTAAGCTCGGCCTGCGCAGGTTAGAGCTCACGTATTAGAGTTGCGAGCTTCTAATGAATAGATAGTTTAGGATAAAAAATAATGAAATTATAGGTAATATGATTTAATAATTTTAAATTAAAACTCAAATAAGTAACTCGTAAATCATTTAAGTTTGATTTGGGTTAGTTTTTCTAAACTTAGACAAAACTCAGACTCATTATTGTAAAGTAAAGTTCAAGCTTTGAAAGTTTTAGTATTTAGTTTCATTTACAGCTTTACAAGTTGTAGTCAATCCCTTAATGCTAATTCAACGTTTCTTTGGAGGTAAAAACGAGAAGGGGCAGAGTTAATGTGACCGAAACCAATGAAAGACAGGAAGCCAGCCCAATAGGGCTGTTGGTAAGGATGGCAATGGATCTCCACGGGGGTAGGACTCCCTCCTCATCCCCATCCCTGTTAATGGCGGGTATGAAAATTCCAGCGAAGATTTTTGGCAAAGGGTCAAAAATTACCTCCGTCTTCATCTCCGCAGGGGATAATAGGTCCTCGCAAGTATTTGGAGTCCCCGCCAAATAAAACTATCACCTATTTCACTGCTTGTTAATCAAAATTCCAAAAGAAAATAGCAATTTTACAGAATCCTAAATAGAAAACAAAGATGATCAAAATCACTCTTTTTAAAACAAGATAGAGAGGATAACAATAGATACAGGCTGATTATCACAAAAGTCTGACTTGCTGATTGTGTAAAATGATTTGAACTAATTATTAATATACTTCAAATGTAGTATTATTGTTATTGTTGTCATGCATATTGTATTACTAAAAATAATTATAAATTAACAAGCATTTTAATTCACAGTTTGAAGGCACCTTTTGGATTCATTTTGGGAGTCTACTAGAAACAAAGGGAGCAGAGACTTGACCTTCCTTTGTTTTTGGAACATGTTAGATTCAAGTTTCATAAAATCATATGATTTTACACCACATCTAATATTGCAAGGACAGGTTTCTTGGCTAAAGGCTATAGGACACCTTTCCTCACCCTCTTCCAGCACCACTCCCCTCCTTAATTGCTCACTTGGATTAAATTCCAGTTTAGTACATATATACATGAAGTTTTGAACAAGCAAGTCTAGCAATCTATACATGTCATTGTCAAGCAAGTCCAGCAAGCAAGCAAGCAACAAGTTCATATTTCATAAAGAAAAAAGGCATAAACTGCCATATAAATCCAGCAAATCCAACAAAAGGTTTATAACAAATAAAAGCATTAATTGTAACTGTCATCTATATCTAAATTTAGCAAAGTTGATAGAAAAAAAAAAAAGCATAAGCTACTGCCAACATGTCCAGCAATAACTTCATTAAGAAAAAGCACATAAAAGAGTCTAAGAAGTGGCAGATGCATACATATCCATCCAATCCAGCAAAGCAAACTCTACAGCTGCAACTTGAGCTAGACTTGATCAATAATTTCAAGTTGAGGAAATAACCTCCTGAAATAAAAACAAATACCCCAAATTAACAAAATTTTAGAAAAATTTCTTTATATAATAATTTATATAAAGAAACATTATTGTTTAAAATTTACCTCAGACTCATCATCCTCATTATCATTCTCCTCCAACTCCTCAAATAAATTGAAGAAATTCCCATTATTGTCAGAACCTGAATTTCAAACATAATAAAAGTTTAGAATATATATTCAAAAATAAGAAAATAAAAGAAATGCATGCAATGCTTAGGTGTAGTGAGGATAAAACACTAAAATTACTAGTTAAAAATACTCAAGCACTAAAGCACAAAAATTAAATTAAAAATTACTAATTAAAAATACAAAAATTACTAGTTAGATACACTAAAGCACTCAAGCACAAAAATTAAATTATACTAGTTAGAATTACTAAAGCAAAGCACAAAAATGGTAGCTTTAGAAACTGCATCTAATTGATACCTAGAGTTGGAGAGTTTGAAAAGATTCTGAGGCAAAGCTGTAGAGGAGGAAGCCACGCGACAACAGAAAGAGAAAGAGGACAACCCAGCCTTGGAGGAGCTAGAGGTAAGCGGTGTTGACTCGCAGTGACGGGCTGATGGTAGGGTGCCACGGTGAGAGGCTGGCTAAGATGACCCAGTAGTAGCCTTGGAGCTCAACTGGAGGTGAGCGGTGAGTTGCAGGGCAGCAAGGGCCAAGGGCTACGGTGAGTTGCACGGTGAAAGGTGAGAGCTGAAGGGAAGTCGGAAGCACCGATTCACACTTCACTGTGGGCCGTGAAGATGAGGCCAGAGTTTGAGCATGAGTGAAGAGTTTGGCAGAGGATTAGAGGAGAGGAAAGTCTTGGAGCTCAGCTGGAGGTGAGCGGTGAGTTGCAGGGCAGCAAGGGCCAAGGGCTGCGATGAGTTGCACGATGAGAGGTAAGAGCTGAAGGGAAGCCGGAAGCACCGATTCACACTTCACAGTGGGCTGTGGAGATGAGGGCAGAGTTTGAGCATGAGTGAAGAGTGTGACAAAGGATTAGATGAGAGGAAAGTCGACTGAGAGGCGAGAGAGGAATGGGAAATCCCTAATTCAGAATTTGCAAGAAGTGGCAAGCAAAAAAGGGACTGAAAGTAAAATGTCTTGCTGCTAGGCAGCTAGGGTTATATGTAAATTGGGCTGTAAATTGTGAATTTGGGCAATTAAGTTTAGGAAATAGGAATATTAGATTCACAAAAAAAATTGGGTTGGGTTGAGAAGTGAGAATTGGGTTTGGAAAATTTGAAAAAAGAATGGATTGTGAAATTTAAGTTATGTTGGTATAGGGTTAGCTAATTAGGTTGGATAAAAAAAAATTAATTGTTAATATATGTACAAAAAATATATATAAATAAATTTATATTTTTTTATTTTATATGAATTCCC